AGGGGTCTCTAAGAGGTTAAGGACGCTTTAGGCTACTAGCTTAGTTTAGCTAATAAGAAGGTTAGCCGATTTAATAGGTAGCTCCTTAAGGTATAAAGACTACTTATCTTACTACTTTAAAAGCTTCTTTACTATATAAAGGGCCTTTATTATTATAACTATATTACCTTTATTTAATATTAATAGAGCTAATATAGCTAGTTCCCTTATAACCTTATTAAGCTTATTATTAGAGTAATAAGGCTAATAGTTAGCGTTAGCGATCCCTTTTTTAGCTTTAAGATAAGTTAAAAGTCTTCTTTTATATTCCTCTTAGCTAGGGCCTTAGTAAGGGCCTTAGCTAGGGCCTTAGCTATAGCCTTAAGCGCTTTCTTTATAGTAACCTTAGCCTATAAGCTAGCTTTAAGGTTTCCTTAGGTAGCCTTAGGCTACTAAGCGGCCTTAAGCTAGTATAGGGGCTATTAGCGGTTTAGGGTCCTTATAGCTACCTTCTTAAGCCCTTTTATAAGGGTCTTATAAAAGGGTTTAATTTTTTAGGCTTCTTTAAAGGCCTAAAGGGCTTACTAAAGAAAGCCCTAGGCCCGGTCCTTTAAGAAGGGGTACTAAGGCTAAGGCTAGATCTACTATAAGTATTATTATTAAGATTATACTAGTAACCTATCTAAACGTATCTAGAACTTTAGCGTTAAATAGGAGGGAAAAACTAAAGTACTTAAAGGAAAACCCTCCTTTCTTTTTATAGCTAGTCTGCCCTTATACTAGGTCGCGGTTATAATATATAGAAATCTTACGCTAGCTCTCTTAGGTATTATTATAGTTAGTTAGAATTATATTAGCTTTACTATAAAGTAACCTTAGAAAGTAACTCCTTTATATATATAGGGTATATAGCGTTAATTAGTAGTATAAGCGTTTTTAGTTAATAGTTAATTATATAAGTATCTTTAACCTTATCTTATAATAATATCTTCCTAAGCTTTACTTTATTTTTCTACTATAAGGCTTAGCGGGCTACTTTTATTAATGCCGGCCTTTAGCCGGGCCGGTAGTTAGGTTATCGTACTAGCTTTACGCTTTACTTATTAAGTTACTAGTATTAGCCTTAGGTTTTTATTTTCCTAGTTAGGGGGCCTAGACTAGGGTTTAAGGAAGGTCGTAATAAATTCGTTGCTAGGTCTAGGTAAGCGAGGTCCGGGCCGGCCTACTTATAGCGGGGCTAAACTACTAGTATATTTATAAGCGCTTCTAAAAGCACTAATTAGCTAATTAATAAGTAGGTTAGTATAGTTTATTCGTTTAACTAAAAATTAATTATACCCCTAGCTAGATTTAAACTAACTCTAGTATTATAGCTAGTAAGCCTCCTAGGTATATAACTACTATACTATAAGGGTTTACTATAAGTATTAGAATATAGGTTAAATAAGTATAAAGCTAATAAGGCTATTAAAGGTAGCTTTCTTTTACTCTTTTACTTACTTTAAGGGCTAGTTAAGCTAAAAGTAGCTAGCTTAAGGTAGGGCTAGGCTAGGCCTAAAAAGGCTAGTCTTTAATATAAGCTAAGTATTATCTTTTATCTTAATATCCTTTAAGTCCTAGTCTTAAGTCCTAGGCCTTTCTTCTAAGGTCTTTAAAAGGTATTAGCCCTTTAAAGCTTCTTTTAAGCAGGCCCTAGCCTCTAAGGTACTTATTTCGGCCCTTAGGTTAAGGGGGTTATTATAGTTAAAGGGGCCCTCCTTAGGTCTAAGCCGGGGTCCTAGGTCGGGTCTAGGCTAGGTCCCGTTAGCGGAGGGTATATACCCTTAGTTAGCGAGGGCCGGGAAGAGTTTTCTACCTATATAGGGGAGAACCTCGCTTAATTTATAATCTTCGGCAGTATATTATATACCCGCTAGTAGCTATATAAGGCTATACTTAGGGGGGCGTAATACGCTATTCGCGACGGTTCTAGGCATATACTTTCTTCGTTTTTAGGCTTAGTATTAAAAAGTTAGCTAAGAAGACGTAATAATAAATTAATATATATATATATATATATACTTATATAAGATCGTCTCTTACTAGATGCATTACTAGGAGCATAACCAGACGTAGACGAGCTGACTAGTACATGAGATGATCTCTAGAGCCTATAATTAGACTGCGTCCCTTTAAAGATAGCGGCTTCTTATGCATAGTTGCCCCCTTCCCCCCCATTTTAAGATCCCCTAAGTCCATCTTACGGGTCCTCACGCCGAGACATCAGGCATTAAACCACAACTAAGCTGCCTACCACATCCACTACGTACCGTCTGATGTTAGCGTCTCGTACTTGTGTGGTGCTTGCAATGACGTCGATGTTGTTGACGGCTGGTGAGGCATCCAGCTGGGCGATGAGAACAAGGGCAACGATTCTCCCGCATTATTGCGGCACGTGCCGTAAAATCGCTGGATTAATTTAAACCGTTCATATAATGTTAATTACTGTCCACACATTACGGAGTCTCTTTACAGGTTGAATTGTCGGTTCGGAGATACGGAGTAGCCTAGAGGCTCCACGAGATAATCTGAAACCGAATCCAATCAAAGTCAATGCCATCGAGTCCCAGACGCGGCCGGCTTTCTCGCCATTCGTCCCCTTTCGGAAAGACTCTCGGCGCCAATTCTCCGACACTAGTCCGTAAAGATCTGAGACACCTGGGACCCTTACTCCAGCGTTGGGTCAGCTTCAGCCGCCCGTTTTCTTATCTCCCGAGACCAAATACCCTAGCCCCTGCTAGCACTGACAATTCAAGAAGGTAATTAAGGGATGGAGAGGATTAAGCATGAAAAATGGGGGAGCAGGTCCACGAGCCTGCAGTTGGCGAAACCGCCTGATCGATTTCAGTCTCGGTCCGGGTTGAGGCTATTCCGCAAGTCAAAAACTCACTTGATTCGGCACACTCAGCAGCCGGGGGTCTCGCCAATCAATGGGCTTTAATACAATCCTTCATGCTGTCCGAATTTGCCGAATTATGACACCATTACTCGCGAGGGCTGTTGGCTTCTCGTATGGTGGCCGGCTTGCGGCACAGCCAGTCCCCTGTTTAGGTATGACTAGGATACTAAAGACCTGTCTTTCAATAATACATATTCTCTTCTTCTTGCATAGGGTAACGATTCGTATTTTCTGCCACAACAAAACAGTGTAGCATGGCATCAGTTCACGTTCCATATCATTGATAGTGTGCCTATCGTTAAATGACTCAAACGCAAGCTCAGAACGAGGAAATCCTTGAAGAAGCTCAGAAAGACACCTTCCACAGATTCTGTCATTCGTCAGACATGGGATACCATGTAGATATTCTTGACTTGGTCCAAAATACGGAGCGTACTACAGCCTCAACCTTTCTTCAAACGTTGCCTTCAGACTCATTTTGCTGACCGGCCCTGAGAGGCCCTGACCTGCCCTGGCCATGGGCTTCCGGAGCTACCGGATGCTTCCCTGAAGCGTTCCAAGGAGGCCAGAGGCCGGCCCTGAACTGCGTCAAGCCACCAATGGATTGCGACGGGGCCTCGTTGAACGCCCCTGTCCGCAGAGCGTCGGATAAGCCTCTTGGTCCATTTCCCCACCGCTTTGATGGATCTGGCGCTGTCTAGCAGGCAAGGCCACATATGTCTAGTTTGATGGTCGTGCCGTGCTCCGGTATTTCACCGCCGGTATCACTGTCATCCAAAGCCATGGATGGCGGCAGCGGCAGCGAGAAGGGGAAAACCGAAGCCATCGCTCTCTTAGAAATGAGATCGAACTCACAAAAAAACCTGCTAGGAGCTGCGTCCAAGACGTGACACGCAGTGCCTGCGTATATAGGAATGGGCGCTCCCTTCTGTGGGGGGAGACTGCAATGAGCCCTGCTCTCCTGTTCTGAGTCCCGGGGCCGTTTGGTCAGAATGAAAAGAACGGAAGTCCATAGATCTACTGGTCAGTACGTCAACCAACGGCTTAACGTGATGTCTTCGGGCTTGATGAAGAGGCGCTCCGTTGCCCGACTGCTTAGACCACACTGTTTGTCCCCTGGCACCGACAACAAGGCGATGGCAATAGCTTGCCCTGCAGCAGCACAGATATGACTCCAGTGAGCTTACTCCGGTCCCTTACTTGAGTGTAGCTCGCGGGGTAACGCCGCCTGTCCAAGAACGGCCGCACAAAGAAGGCTAGATGCTTTTTTCTTCTGAGGCGCGAACGGTTCATGGCCCTTTTTATCGCTATACTAGGTCAGATCGGTAATCTAGTTGTGTTATAGTTGCGGCGTACACATGATTTGCTCATTTTCGCCTCTAGAAAGTGAAGAGATGGAGATAGTCAAGTCAAGCTGCCTATCGCGGCAAGCCATCAAAGTAGTGGCCCTATGCTGGCAAAATCGGCGTCATTGCAATGTAGTCTGTTCTTTTGAAAGGGCTGGTGTGTTGGCGCATCTCATGAATGGCTGACATCACTTTAAGCGTTGGGTAACATCTTTTCAATTCCGTTTGATACATTTTGGCATAAAGAACAAGGATATTGTTGAGTTGCCCTTTGTCAAGTCACAACGTCCCTCGGAATTCCGAATGTGGCATGATCCTTTGATAAAACAAGAAAGCTGATGTTCAGAGAGCCTCTGAAAAGAAAGGGACAAGCTGATATGAAGTAAAATCACATTCAGCAGCCGCTATTTGCTCGTCATGCACCACCTACCTATCTAGCTCCAAAACATTGACACTCGTATGACTGCAGTTGCCTCATTCCCTTCATCACGTAGCTTCGCTCTAGACGTCTTTGCTATTCCGGCGATGGCGAGCGCCTGCGGGAGGCAAAGTAGTCTGAATAACCTGACGTGAACACATGGTACGACTGAATGCAGTCGCTTTTTGGACTATTTATGGATTCCAGTATCATACACTCTTCTTGTCCTATAGGGTATCTCTATGGTATGACGTCCAGGGCTTCGCTTATCTCCAGGACAAAGCCTCATCTTTCCTACGAAAGGCAGGTCAACTGCTGTTCACTGCTTCCTATCTGGACATGGCTGGACTTCAGTGGGCGTAATGTTGAAGTGCTTGGAAAAGGGGTCTTCATTCCATTGTCGGGGCACGTGCTCGATGATGCTGGAGATGCGTCGCTCCGTGTCGGGGCTCCAGAACGTCTTGATAAACTGCATGACCAAATCCAGAGACGAGGTGACACCCGAAGACGTCCAGATCTTGCCGTCCACGATGTAACGGGCGGGAGACACCCACTTGACCTGTGGACCCATGGGAAGAATTGTTTTCCACGCGTTCTTGTTGGTTGTGGCCATCTTGCCGTCGAGGATGCCTGCCCTTGCCGCGAGACCCGAGCCGGTGCAGATGGTGATGAGGATCTTGACCTTGGGGAACATCTTGGCGATGTACTCTGTGACGGCCGGCAAGTCTGGGTTCCTCACACCTGGCCCGCCGGGGACGATGAGGACGTCTAGGTCTAAGTCATCCTTAAATGTGTTGTTGGGAAGCGCCTTGGGCCAAAAGATTGAGCCTTTGGCATTTGATCCGGGTGCCTGTGTCTCTGTAGTCACAGGTTCGAGGGTCTCGGCGATGAGCGACAGCGTCATCTGCTGCTCCAGGTGCGCCATCAGCTGAAGCGGCTCGAGCGTCCCGAAGACGTCGATCATATCAAAGCCAGGGAACAGAACGACGCCGAACTTGCGAAGCTCGCTCCCGGTGACGGCGGGGGCTTGTTGCGCCTCGACGCATTCGCCTTGTTGCCCTTGTCTTGCACCGACCACAGGAGTCGCGCCCGCATGGGCAACAGAGGTGCTGCTGGTGCCGGGGCGCCCGAGAGCGACGGCAAAGCTTAAGAAGAGGGTTGAGAGAGAGAGCTTCATCGTGTTTCTATGTTGCCCCTTGCGATCCAGCGCAGTGGTAATGTCTGGGATTCGTTATGGATGCGGTGAATGGTTCACAGGAGGGGAGACACAGTGGCCACATATGTAGCCTGGACTTTGTTCGTCCGATCGCCCCTTTTGCCACGTTGGCTTGCTCCCAGCTCGTCATTTAGGCAGCCAGTTTTGCTATTGAAAAGGCATTGTGTTAGCCGGGGGGTTCTTAGACAATACGCGACAAAGGGGCCATGAATAGCGATACGCCTTGCGCTGTGCTGGGTCCCAAATGCGCCCCCCCCTCCCCCTGACATCGAAGTTGGGTTTACAAGCAAGCCAATCGAAAGAAGCAAAGCACCGTCACCTGCACCGAGAAGGGGGGAGAAGAGAGATGCTGTTAGGGGGTTGGAATGACTGGTCCAATCAAGCGGGCGGCTATGGCTCGTGCATCACTTTTTCCCATTCTTGGTGCTGACGCAACCAAGAACTCGATTCCCCTTCGACCTCGCATATTTTTCTGCGTTTCATACGTTGCCCCTGTACGTCTAGCGTCTGGCTTGGGGGTTGCAATGCAGCCAAGCGCGGCATGCATCAAATCCACCTTCTCACGCCTGTAATAGGACGATACCCAGTGGACCTCATTGCGCACGCACCGGTAGCACAAGCGAAAGGGATTCGGATACGACTGCAGCACTGCAAGGGCTCACTGTTTCGCCTACCCGCGTACGTACGTCCGCTCCCGGCCGCTGAGGGGAGAATGACGGGTCGCCTCTAAACGCCCTCGCAAGCGATGCCATGACCGCCAGGCCTGAGCTGTGACGGGTACTGTTCCCCCATAAACCTCAAACGACCCGACTGCAGCCGACTTTCGAGCCTTGGGGCTTGGCCAAGACGGCCCGGTCGCGTGCCCTTCAGGTCCATGATGAACGGAACTTGGATCCTTGGAATCCAGAGCCGCATAAACCAGTCCCCATCCTCCTGTCGCCTTTACCACGCTGTATGCGAGCTGCCGCGCCAGAATCCGCGTGTCCGAGACCTTTGAGAGACAGCCTGTGCCTCGCCCACATTGACGACACCGCCCTGTTCAAACCTCGCGATTGGGTTAGTTGGAAAGCGCATGAGTACGAGCCCGTGAGCCTTCAACGCCTGTTCCTGTACTGGCGGCCTGTACGGGACGGCGAATCTGTCCGTCCAGGCTTCTGGATGACGATTGCCTGTTGGAATTGATAGAGTATTTCCAAACATGCCTGCCAGGCCCCTCCCCTGTTGCTGTTGAAAGCCTCTTCAATGTCAATGCACTCTCACCAGACCAACTTATCTTTAGCGGCTGGCTGAGGCCTCCGGTGCTGGATCCCCGCCTCCCGGCATAGTGACTCTCCGAGTGTCTTGCGAACCAAGGTGTACAGTGTTGCCCCTTGAAAGAATCGCTGGAACAGAATATCGAAAGCGACTATGTGTAGATTATGAATTGGATGAACGGTTGAGGGCGAAGGATGGAGAAAATAAATAGCATGAAAATGGCCAAAAAAATCGTTTTCGTATACAAAATTTAGGTATGGAGGGTAAAGAACCAGAAAACATCAACGACAATCGAGGGAATTTCCCAATATGACCACCTCCCGATGCGTACCTTCCATTGAACAACTTCTTTCCCACACAATACCTGGCTTAAAGGCACCTTCGCGTACTTGGTAGTAGGTGCCTACCCTACCTACCTACATACCGCCCGAAGTAGGCACAGACAGAAGAGACCATACCGCAAGCATGTACCGAGGTCGAGGCTCGGAGCGGCAGTTGTATGGGTGCTCGTTTAGCCTGTAGCGCCAGTAAACGTCTGGATTTGTCTCGCCTCGCCGATACGCCCGCCTGATCGTCAATACCAGACCGTGTTCAATCATGCACCGAGGTCGAGGCTCGGAGCGGTAGATGGGTCATCGTCCAGCCAGTAATTGTGTGCTTCGGCGTTGCATCCCCAGCAAGGCGGCCACTCGGTCTCGAGTAGATCATGGTTAATTTCCACAAGATCACCGTCGACCAGTACCAGGTCGCGGTCAAGCAGCACTACATCGTGGTGGCAGAGTTTCGTTCCTTGCACTTCTTCTTGCTCCGGAGGCGAGGATAAAGGCTCCGGAAACACTGGCTTTGTCAGGCCCAGGCTGCACAGCGGCTATGACGCCCCTTGGGATCCATCCTCAATCTTGTCTGAGCGCTGACTGGAAAAGGCGAGTTCCAAGGGTGACTTTAAATCGACGCCGGCACAGGCCTCGGCTTGTCTGTTGCGAAGGAGCCAGCAAGACGGCCGACAGCACGGACAAGGCTTTTCCAGCCTCTTGTGGGCCACGCAATGGCACTGTCTGCCGCAGGTGCAGTCGGTCGCGGTGGAGGAGCCGGCCGCGGCTAAAGGGTTGTCGACGTACCCAACCCAAAGTGGCAGGCTCTCGCCCGAGCAACCGGGGGAGCTCATCTGGTCTTGTCTCGGTGCCGTCGGTCCGGGATAACCAACGGGCCATCTAGGCCACCGCTAGAGACGGAGACCGAGACGGGTAAAGGTTGAGGCGACGCTCTGTCGATATGTCGGTGCCGGATCGTGGCATGTTGGTGCCATGGAAGAGGGGGTAAGCAGGACTGGCCGACATACACATCTTCCTGGGCCCATCGGCTTGTCTCGTCATGCGCCTCGGAGACATACTTTTTGGCCGTGGCTTGAAGCTTGATGGGCGTCTCATTGCCGTAACCTCTATGCAGTTGACCCGACACGTCACCCCGCGCATCTGCGAGTTGGTTCACGCCGCGACGTCACCCTCCGTCCGGGCTTTGCGGGAGGAGCCGGTGGATTTGAAACTGGGAAGGTGATTTATGCTTCGTTAAGTCCGATTTTCGAAACGCCGCTTCAACGATGCTAAAAAAGTGCTTTGTCTTCCGCTTTGCCTCTACGTTACGAAGTATCTCATCGTTCAATTGTTTGAGAACACATCCAATTTTGGCCGCCCGTAGACTAGACGAGCAAACGTATTTACGAGCGAGTGGCACTTACAAGCGAACGCCAAACTCTAAAATATAATACAGTTAACCTGCCCGTCAATGTAAAAACCAATAATTTAAGGATATAACAAGAAAATGTTATATATATTCTAGTATATTTAACTACTTATCTTTTACGAGCTGTCCTTCTCCGAAATGAAACTATGCCTACTTTTATCACAATCATGTTTCACATCTAGAAGTCTGGAACTGATTTTCGGCGATATTGCCCGCCCTGGCAAAATCCGAAACTAGAGAACGAACTTAAACTGTCGTCTCTAGGACGGCAAGGGTTTCTGATAAGGACCGTTCGCGTGGAACAGAGACAGTAGGGACAGTAGGGAAGGAGGAGGGACATGACCACAGGTCGGACATGAGCCACGCAATGGGGGTTGGCGAGTAGATCTCGGGCCACCCCCTCGTTCTGTTGTTTCTAGATTTAAAGCCGCACAGGTTTCGGAGTTTGTATGCAGCATATATCGGCGATTAGCATCAAAGGTCCCGCTAGTCTGTGGTTGGCTGGCCAGTTGATAATTATAAGAAGAGCTTCCCTCCGCCAACATGAGGTTGGTGTTCGTCGCAGGGATTTCACGGTCTCTAAGTCTTGGACCGTCTCATATACATATACAATTCTACCCAATTTTTTGCGTTGAACACCCGTTCTATCGGACTCTCACAAACGGTACTTTGAATTACACAAGATGGCGATATTTCCTACCGAACGTTTGCACGAGATTGCTATCGGGCGAACCCATGATTCCAAAGACCGGTCCAAAATTGCTTCTCTCGAGGGGCTAGTTGGTGGCTTGTCGTCTGAAGAGTTGTGCGAGGCCCGCAAAGCTTACGTAGATCGTTACTACGTCGATCCGGAACACCACCTCCGTAACTTCGATGTATTTCAAGAATTTCCGCTACTTAGATTGGACCCTGATCTTCTCATCGAATTGCTGGGTATTCTGAATAAACCGGACATTCAGAAAGACGTCACTTATATTGGCCATCTTCTCAAAAAGGCAAAGAACGCGTCTTTAACTCTTCAGGATCGGAAGGAATACTACAGCCGGCTTCCACGCATAGGATTATGGGACTCGCCCGCGCGTAAGCCGTCTAATAACCAGAATGTCGATTCCTTTGAGCGGCGTTTGCGTATTCAGGCCTGGGCAAAGACATCTGCCGTGAACTTCGACGAGGCACTCAGGGAAATAGAAAACGGCTTCCCTATAGTGGCGTTCGAACTTGATACCCCAAGGGAAAGGAATATTGCAGTTATTGCAAGCTCGCACGGCGCTCAGTGGCAAGAGCTTGTCGATTGGGCGCTTGGAGTCCTCGATGCGGGCTATGCCGTGCAGATTTTCACACCATTTGGACGTCCGCTTGCGATCCAGCGAGACAGCATGCTAGTCCGCGAGCCGCCCACAGAGGCTGTTGCCGTCGCTTTAGGTCTTCCAGGAGTTGGCCTTGGAGCCCCTATTCGCTTGGATCCTCTCCGCTTGCCGAAAAGCCGCCTCGACTATCTACTTGGGAACGTAGTTGGGGCTGATCGGTTCGATGCGAATAGGTTCGGTGCTGTTTACCTAGCAGGCGGACTTGGCTTCAATGAGGTCGTGGCAGTCACCTCACCGAAAAGTGCCGCCGATGATACTCATGCAAATATCGCAGCGACACCCAATATCGCGGTAATGATGGGCAGCGCAGTTGAACACCGACTTCCTATTATTGCCCTCTGCCACGGTCCTACCCTGTTGGCTTGTTTAGATATTGATATTGGTGGCAAACGCGAAAAACTGGTTAAAGGGGTAGAAGTGGCTGCCCTCCCTGCTCTGGAGCCCATGGTGCATGCGCAGGGAAAGCTGGAACCCCAATTCAGCTTTTACACATGGAAGACACATGACATTCTCGCCGAAGCTGGAGCTTTGGTTAACGAATTGGAAGACTTGAAAGGTATGACGGTAGTCAGAACTGGTGTTCGAGATGGCTTGCACCTGGCCACGGGTCCTGGGCCACAGACTGCGTCGAATTTAATCAGCGCAACCACATCTGCTTTGGAAAAACGTTGGGGAATGGCTTGATCCCATATCTTTAGGATACTTGTTGAATCCTTAGAATCTACTGTCCCATAGCAAGAAACAGAGAGCTTTGGTCGTTGTATTGAGTTCTCCACTAGTCCTCGAAGGATATACTATAGGCTGGTCACAGGCTTGAAGTTGCTGCTCCGAACTATGATATGACTTTTCTAGATGCTCGCTGGACCGAACGATTCGCCTCGTCACGGCTGCACTGGAATGTCCAAAAAGTGACCACCAGAAGAGAGTCCTCATTATATGGAGGAAAGATGGCAAATTAGATACTGCAGCTGTTGGCAACTGAGAGTTCTAGAAGCGTGCTGGGGTTGGTTGTCGGAGGCTGCCTTTGAAGCACCTCGTGATCTGGTATCTACTTGGTCATTGGATCTTGATAGGCCTCTCGCAAAGGCGGTGTATAAGTTTGACTTGCGTGACGCAGCGCCTTTGGAACAGGATGGATCATAACAGCGGTGACTGACTTTGAATCAGGCATTAATTGCATCGCATATAGTGTAAAACAGGCATGCACCTGGTCTAATGATAACCGCCGACGAATATGAATAGAAGTTTATACACCTACTATAGTCACTATTTCTCCTTAATTTTGCAACTTGAAGCGAGGCAGCTTCTCGGGGTAGTAGTTAGTGGGTTGAAAGACCAAACAAGCAATAGCATTGGGTACACAGCAGCGCGTAACGCGAGGGGGTTTATATTCAACTCTCTCCTAAAAACGCCCATCATTTAAGCCCGACTCTGGGTCTAACGAGTCAGTCCCAGCGCCGAGCTATACCGTTTTTGGGCTCTATATTCTCAGAAAACAGCTAGCCCCGCGACCCCGACCCATACCATGGCGGCTACACTGGCAAAACCTCTCGCAGCGCTGTTGACTACCGGGCTGGTAGAAGTCGGGCCGGATGCCGCCTGCCCCGCTCGGGTTCCGGTGCTACCACTTGTAGGAAGCTGAGTGGCGGTAGCCGTCGAGCCGCCCTTGCTATAGAACTCGACACTGGCGCTGGAAACGAGCGCGCTGTAGTCGCTTGCCGTCAAGGGGATCTTCGTATAGCAGCTCTCAGTCGACGTTTTCGGATCAAAAAATGTCGAACCGGTGCAGATTGGCCAGCCAGGGCAGTTGCTGAGTGTAAGTTGTTGGCCGACGCAGCAGTATCCTTGCTCGTCATTTTCCTTGGAGTTCTCCTTGGAGAAGTCGAGCGACCCATGGTACACAAGAGTACCTCCCGGACATCTGCCGGAGGAAAAAATGCCCCTTTTGTCCACTTCGTTTTCGATCTCGTTGCCCAGGTCCGAGGCAACTCCATTCACAGGATAACAACATGAGGAAGAAGTCCTGAACGCATAATGACCGGACTTTTGTGGTGCTGAGAGAGGTGGCGAGGAGAATCCGGCGGCTTTTAGACATGTACTGTATGCAAACAGTCAAGCAGGCGAGAAAATAAAGGGTGCCAGCAATATTTATATAACATATTTCTTCTTCCTTAAGTTCCTTGGTTCCCCTTGAATTGGGATGAAGGGAGACAGACCTTGCTAGACTATACGTGCTCCACAACGGTAATTTCTCTTTTCAGACAAGGAATTGACAACTTGGCTTAGCCAGCCTAGAACGTGGAGATCGTCGTCACCGGGCAGACCTAAAGAGCTGGAAAAGGAAATGGCCGTAATGGGGATGGCATAGGGGGGAAGGAAACAGAGTCACCATCTGTACAAACATAGTAACTCTCCGCTTGTAACTTTGTGTCTAGTGCTGCCGAGTCTTGTTTTCAATGGGGTGCTAGGCAGTTATTGTTCCAATCGTAGTTGTAAAGGGGATCTAGAGACGAAGTATTATTAGGTCCAGGGTGCTTTAGTCTTGAAATATGTGACTATTCTTTCCTCCGCCTAGCCTGCCAAGAAATTGTGCTCCTTGTCAATGGTAGGCAAGCTGCTACTAATTCGAGGTTTATCTTACGCACTCTTATACATCTACCCTAGCTACTTAGTCGATGAGTCCCAACCTCGACCTAGCCTCCACGTCACTATATACACATACCCTTTCCAGAGAAGCCCGTTCCTAAGGCGGGAGGGCTTAGGATCTTAATCAACGAATAATTCCCTTTACCAGATTGCCCCTGCTATTTACGCAGAACCTCTTTATCTTTTTAAACTATTTAGGGGGTCTACTCTCGCAAACTCTAGAGACAGTATCACCCTTAAGACTAGCAATAATTCAATCTTATATAGCAGTGTAAGGAAATCACTAGGTTGTGTAGGCAAAAGTAAAGTGACACTCCGACAGATAACCTAGAAGTAGACCCTATATGCTATAGAGGTGCTGGTGGCAGCTAACAAGCAGCAATAGCTTCTTCTATCCTTAAGACACTTACTGTACTAATATATAATGTCGGGTAATAAATTATCGGACCACCTCTCTTATATAAAGTTATTTTAGACTAGTAGCTTAGCCTTATAAAAGTTAATAAGTAACGTTATACTAAGCCTAAGAAGCACTATCTTTAAGATTAAGCATAATACCGTAAAAACGTACTAAAATAGATTAATATTAGTGGTCTAAAGAGGTATAGGTATGCCCTATAAGTAACCCTACTAAATCTCTAATACTTAATACTTAAGCTACTTATCTCTCTTTAGTCGATCTTAGCCGTTTTATAGTATGTCTCCCTGCTACTATTACTAGGGAAAAACTAGACTACTTTATTACCCGTAGGGGTACCTATATAATTAGACGCTAATACTAGTCTAATTTAGTAAGTTATCTTCCCCGTTAAGCTTAGAGTAAAGAAGTGCCGCCTCTTAGATACTATTTTAAGGTATATACGGAGAAGCTAAGCCCCGTTCTTCCTTATTATGCGAAACTCTAAGCTAGCCTAAGTATTCTTATAGTAGCCGATAGGCAGTAGCGAGGCTTTTAAGCGTAGAATTAGTTGCAATTACATACTAGGAAAAGATAATTCGTTCTAGTATATACGAAGTATAGGCAGCCGCTCTTCTTCTACCCTAACTTCGAATTTACTATATAAAAGCTCGCGTGGTTAGGGCGGTATTACCGGGCCGGACAAACCTCTCGAGGAGGCCGTGGCCGACCGCAATATAAAAGCTAACGAATAAAGAGAGGGTCGCGGCGGATAAAGGAGCCGCTATATAAATATGTTTAGGATAAGATAGGACGCGTAGCTTAGAACGGGTAAGTTTTAGTATCTTCTAGTAAACGCCCTTTAAGTACTAGGAGAAAAAAATAAATTAGCGTATACTGTCTAATACGGATAAACCCCCTCTCCTCTATGCCTAGCGCTCGGACCACCTACTTAGCTGCGATATAAGTCTAAGGTATTAATAGTGCGTAAGGCTAACACGCTAAGGGCAAAGCCCTCTACTCTATAACTAACGACGTACGGCTAAGTAGGACTAGCTAGAGCTTAAGGACCCTAAGATTAAGAGGGCTATTTTTAGCTCTTTTAATAAGAAAGCCCCCGGCCCCTAATCCCTTAGCTTCCTCCCTATTTAATACGCCTATAAGGCTATCCCTATAGTCTTTAATAGGGCCTATAATAAAGCCTTATTTAACTAAGGATACTACCCTAAGGTATAAAAGGAAGCTATAGGAATTATACTTCCTAAGTAAAATAAGCTAGACTATACTATCCCTAAAGCCTATTAGGTTATAAGTCTACTTAACTACTTAGGAAAGGTCTTCGAAAAGCTATACGCTACCTAGCTAAGCTATCTAGCTAATATAGCTAGGCTTTTAAACCCTACGTAGCTAAGGGAACGAAAATACTAGTTAGCTATAAACACGGTCTTCCTCCTTCTATACTATATCTAAAAGAAGTAGGAATCTAATAAGAAGGCTATTACTAGTACCCTCTTATTAGATATAAAGGGCGCCTTTAACTTTATATCGAAGGAATAGCTTATAAGGGTCTTAAGGGACTTAAACCTTCCTAAGGCCCTTATAAGCTAGGTAGACTACTTCCTTACTAAAAGGAAGATCTAACTAGCCTTCGAGGGATAGGTCTAGCCCCTTATAGACCTAGTAATAAGGGTGCCCTAAGGGTCCCCTATTAGCCCTATTCTATTCCTCTTATATATAAGGGGGATACTAGCGACTAAGGGGTACTATATATCTTATATAAATAACTTTAGTGTCTTTATAATATTAACCTCGGCTAAGAAGAATATTTAGTAGCTAGAAGCTATAGCTACTAGCTTATTCGAATAAGCTAAGGAGTAAGGGGTTTACTTTAACCCCTTTAAGATAGAACTTATTTACTTTAGTAAGTAAAGGTAGCTTATTTTAAAGGGTATAATAATAAGAAGCTTATTCTTTAAAGTAAAGCCCTTAGTATAGTAGCTAGGAGTCTTTTTTAACTTTAGGCTACTATTTAAATAATATATTAAGAAGAAGGTAGCTTTTATATAAGCTACCTTTAAAGGACTATCTTACTTAGTCTCTATATAAAGAGGCCTATCTTTTAAAGCCTTTAAGTAGATCTATTAAGCCTATATAATATCTATAGTAGACTATAGAGCCTAGCTTTAGTATAGGGGGCCTAAGACCCCTAGGAGCCTTATAAAGCCCTTTTAAAAGCTTTAAAATTAAGCTTTTTAAAAGGTCTTAAGGGCTTTTAAAGGATCCCTTATTAGGGCCTTAGAAGCTAAAGTAGTACTACTACTATTAAAGGTATAATTTAAAAGGGTATACCTCTCTTATACCTTTTAGAACCTATACTTCCTACCTAGTTACCTTATAAGGTAAGTTTACGACCTAGCTATATAAGATAACCTCGCTAACTTAGGCTCTAACTAAGGAGCCTTAAGCTATATTAGGCCTTAAATATAGCTCTTTTACCTTCTTAAAGGCTTAGTAGCTATTATTAGACTTAATTATAACTTAGAAAGAAGGAAAGCTAGCTAGGAGCTCTTATAGGCCTTAAATGCCCGTAAGCCTTTAGCTAAGAAGCGGTACTAACGCTTCTTAGCTAGCCTAGCTAGCT